CTAAGATTCCTTCAATTTTATTAACAATATCTTTGTCTTTCACAGAATATGATATCATTATATCATTTTTCTTTGTTTGTGCATTAGTTTTTGATTTGTTTTCACGGTGTTCAGATTCTAAATCAATGAATTAATGAATCAATGAGAATCAAAAGTCATATTTATTAATCGATAGAAGATTACCTTTACTAAGATTCCAAAGAAGACCATCTATTATTTTTTGTATTTCATCATTTGTTGATTCATTCCACGAGATCGTTGGATTAGTTTGTTGATTATTTTCAGATGAAGATTTTTTAATATGTTGTAATGAAAGAATAAATTGTGAATTATGATTTATCTGTTGAGCTATATGTTTATCAAATGATAGTGTCCAAAGAGATTTGAGAATGAATTGTTTTGATAGTCCAGATAGTTTTTGTGAAGATTGTATAAGAAATAGTAGTGCATTTTGTTTGATAATTTCCTTTTTCACTTGTTCGTATTGTACAAGAGCTTTTTAATAGAATGGAAAAATGAATCGAGAAAAGAAGAATAGATATGCTTACATGCTAATGTTTCTGTAAGTTGTATAATATTTCGATTGATATTTTGTAAGCTGGGTGCAACATCTTGTTTAGTTGCATCATTAGGATAAATTGCTTTATGAATTAAGTTAAGAGTGGTGTACAGGAGTCTAGATAGATTGCCTTGTGATTCTTTTATATCATTTTCATCTACTGTATAGACCAGCATCAAATAAGCATTTGAAACAATGGCTTTACAAGGTGATGAAGCTAATCGTTGAAAAACTATCGATGGTCTACATTGTTTCATATAATCAAGTGCATCAGGTTCATAAACTAATACACTAAAAAACTTGAAGTGCTGCATCAATTAATAATGTTTCAGGATTAATTGGTATTCTTTTAATATGTTTAATTAATTCAGATTCATTAACCAAACGTAGAAGATGTTTAATAAATGTTTGAAGTGATTCATTACTTAAGTATGATGTAAAATAACTTTCAGCAAAAACAAGAACTATAAGAAGATGATACATAGCTTGTTTTATTGAACGTTGCCATGTTTTTATAGTTTTTATATGTGTATTAAGTATTGTAACACAACGTGGTAACATTACTTTTAAAACTTGTTCAATGTTTCTTTCCATATGGGGACCTTAAAAAAAAAAAAGAAAAAATCTTTTGTATTTCAAGAAAAAAAGTACGATATTATACTAGCCATTATAAGTTGCAAGAAATTGAGGGCATTTTCTAAGAAATAATCTTTGTATTTCTGTTAATTTCGTTGCATTTGCTTTCAGATCTTTAAATATTTGTGTATAAGTACTTGATGTTACACAATTCATTACTGGTTGAAGTAATGGAAGAAATAAACTATGATGTAAATCTGCTGGTAAACGTTCTTGTATGCTAGTAAATATGTTTAATAAACGTAAGATTTGTTTTGTATAACGTCTACTATTTTTGATGTTTAATATTTGTTCTATTTGATTTAAAGAATTTGCTAATGCAGTAAGAAATGTTATATTAGTTATCCAATGTAAAGTTTTCGAGACATCAGGAACATGTTTAATTAAATGTTCAAGTAGTATAACTAAATTTCGAAGTACATATGTTGCTAGGTCACTTAATTGATATTTTGTGTGTAATTCTTGTAGAAGAACTTGTATTGTATTTCGTACAAGAATAAAAAAATAATGCGTATTAACAGAAGGTAGTGATGGTGGTGAAGTTAAGTTCAATGCGTGAACTATTTTATTCAAAGAGATAAGATATATTGAAGAATATTCTTTAGTAGCTTTTAGTTCACGAATAACATCATCTAATATAGTTGATAATTCTTGTGCATCAATATATTTTGTTTTGCGTCGTATTGTTAAAATGTGAGCAGTAATAACCTGTGAAACAGCTGGTGGCTGACGAACATGTTCTGCTTGACGTGCCATTGTTTGTAAGAAAAAATTTTGAATATGAAGACAAAAAAGTTTTTTATATGTACGATAATAATGCCAATTATTATCAACTTGTTTTTATATTTATTTCAAAGAATGACGATGTCGCCTTGAAGTATATATAACCTTGATTTATCGAAGAAGCTAAATAACCCGTTAATTTCATGGTTTTATGAAGCGTAACGACGCATTCACGATTATTATATTTGATACACATCTCCCTGATTTATGATAGAAAGCGATATGTCACTCATTCTTCACAAAAAATCGATTTTTTTGATATTTTATGCATTATTGGTGTGTCATGTTCATTTGTTCAGAAGGATATTTAAAATATATATTTCAGAAGCTTATAATTACTGCAAAAAAACCTGATTAAATTTTGTATTTACATTAAATTTATCTTGGTGAAATGAAGTAGACGAAATAGATATAGTATGGCGGATTTTTATCTTTTCTCTCCCACTTCATAGTGAGAGTACGTAAGAAATAAGTCGTGATAATATGTTTTTCATAAGTGTTTGTTTCGTACACCCACTTTGTTGGTCTCGATCCTCGTATATTTTTTAGTAAGGTATACACATGTAAAAAATAAATCGCCGGTGATTTCGATGTCAGTTTATTAAGTGCAATCAATAGATCATTTATAAAATACGTATAATGCGTTTTTTATTGTTAAGGTTAAAAAAAAGAAAAGAATAAAGGTAATACATAAAACAGATACAGTCAACACGTTCATATAGACGTATATAACATGCCAATATACTTTCATAGATAATGTCCTTCATTCTTCGCTAGATATTATATTTTCACAATTATTCTCATACTACTCATATATACATACATCACTCATCTAATAAAACTTTCAATAATAAGCTATAACACATAAAAACATTTTACAATATAAATTTATTCATTCTACGAAAATTAACTCCAACATTCACACACATATCTTAATGCAATATTTTTTTTCTTATTTATGTCGAAATTAGTTTCAAGCAAACCGTTTATTAAGAGACAATCGTTTAGAAAAATATTTAACTTGTAGTTATATATTCATATCACTGTTTTTTTTTTCTAAGTCAATGTACTTTGAATACATTTTGGATACTTCTACATTTTACACTGTAATTTTATTCAAACAAATGTCATCTACAACATAAATCCACATAATTATTTATTCTAAATCATGTTTAATTTTTTCTACATGAAAAAACAAACAAAAATATAATTATAATGATTAACGTTCGGTGCAAAGAACTACAGAATGACCTGATAAATCTGTTGGTACTGGCTAACAATTAACAGATCGTTGACATAGAAATGTGTCATATATAAATATATGATTGTCAGTCGACAATTTCCTTTTATGAAATAGTTATTAAATATATGTCTAGTAATCATAAAAGAAATAAATAAGTAAAGAAAAAAAGCATGATATTTGTTGATGTAAATTATGATATAATGTTACGTGAATGTGAAGTAATTATTTACGTTTCTCTTTCTTTTTTTCAAAATAATATTTTTGTTAGAAAAAAATCACAGAAGTTAATTAAATATTTGGGAAAGTTAAGATAGAGAATATTACTCAGGATTGATCGCAAATAATATTTAAAAGTTTATAACATAGTTAATATCGACAGATTTTTGTACATGAAGACATAATAGAATAATATTTCATTCATTTAATTTTTTTTGTCTGAATAAATCAATTTTCGATAAAATCTTATTTAAACTGGTAAGAAGAACTTTGTATACCTCTTAATAATGATTAGTTTTGTTTGATGCTATTCCAATGTTCAGTCAATCTTAAATAATTTAGATTAGTTTATTCAAATTTTGTTGAAGTTAAGAAGTAATGTTTTGTTTTCTCTTCCCTTCTAGATTCATAGTTGACATGGTGGCATTAGAAGAATGAATAAGTACTAAATGAAAAGAACGATCATGATATATTAAGAATTATAGAAAATCAGGAAGTCAGGCTTTCTGCTGTTTTTTGAATAAAATAATCTCGTCTTTCAAAGAAAGTGTTTTTTTTGCTTGAAAAGTTCGTGATAAAGAATTTTTATATGCATCTTTCTCGAATCAAGTCATAGTCATTAATATAATCACTTAATACTTTTATTAATTGTTTAAACATAATTACAAATTTCTCATCAAATACTTCTTATACTGCCTAGTTCTTTGTAACTAATTATTCCCACAACAAACAAGTACCTAATAGATTTATGAACCAATTCTATAGAACTATAAATTTCTTTTATCATCTTTTTTTCATCAATAAAATATTTTAATTTTCTCACCGTTCTATTGTATACCCAGAAATAAATCTTTTCAGATACTATCAATAAGAAAAATATTCTAACTGATTTATATGGAATTTTACTGCACATAAAAGCTATTACCGTGTAAATTTTTAAATAATTCTCATCTTCTTGATATTATATATCTATTTTTCTTTATGTTCATTTGAGATTAACATATCACATGACGTTAATGAATTGAATAAAATTTTTCTTTTTACTCCCACCTAGTGCTTTTAAACTATGAGAAATTTAATACAAGATTTAATTATTAGCTTGAATGCTTGATTACTGCTGTTGAAGAGTTTTCAGGCATAGAACACCAGGGTGAAATTCAATTTCCTGTATTTAATTAAGGTGATATTATCTGACAGATAAATAAACTCTCTATATTTATATTTCAATACTATATCAACTTTTGACATAAGCAGTTCAACTTCTAAATATAATACTGTTACTTTGTTGTTCTACTGATCGTTAGTCTATTAAAATGAATTTTAAGAGAATTAATTAGGATGTTACTTTTAACAAAAAACAATATTTCATATAATTATGTCAAGTTTTTGTATGTATAGGATAAAGAACATGTCTTTTCTTTCAAAAGATAAGTGAAAAGCTACATTTTCTTAGATCTGTTATTTCCGATGAAGCTAAAAGCATTCGCGTAGAAAGAACAAAATTACTAGAATCTAATCCGAATAAAATCCAGCGCAGAAAAAAAAAAAGCGAGAGTCTATTATATAAACGAGAAAAAAACATGGTAGGTACACATAGGTTAATATATTTATAGTAGACAATATGAATCTGTAAGATGCAAAAGTCGATAGTACGTTAATTCGAGATATCCTTGAGCTAGTTAAAACAACATAGAAGACAAATTATCTTTTTTGTAGAAAATCATGTTAATTTAATATTTATATAATAGAACCAGATTAATATTAACTTCTTAATATACATATAAATTAATAATTTAATAATTATTCTAATAAGGTATACATAAAGATAATTACTATTCATATTCTAAGAAAAGTTTTAGATCAGATAGTCGTACTTCCAGAATATTTTTATAACTCAGCAAAAGAAAACGTTTTTTTTTTTTTCTATAAATAATTCTTGTTATTACCAAGACTACGATGACCGTGTAAGATACGACAGACAAGGGAACCATCTGTTAATGAATACGAATTATATATATATATTCATTTTTATTGTTTACTATATATATGACAACATAAACATGTTTTTTTTGTATGAGTTGAAATAGATTCTACATGCTTTTACTTCTTATATCCTTAGAGATATCAATATGTTTTTCAAATTATTTTTATGTAATTTACATTAGATTAGATTTAAGTAAATCATTCTATTATAATAATACTCTTGATTTACTTTAGCAGTTAATCTTTACGTTCCCTTGATTATGACAATAAAAAAAATAACGGAAATATAATATAAATAGTAGCAGAAAAAATATTTTGACAGATTGATTAATATTTTCATTGACGATAAAATTATGCTATGAAAATTGCCTTCTTCTTTTTTTATTTAAATAGAAATATATGAGTTATTTTAGTGTTCTAATTAAGAAAAATTAGTAAGTTTCTTCATCTATGAACAATCTCTTCAGATCTAATTATTTCTTGAATTAAAAACAAAATAAATCTTTTATTTATTATAAAATAGACTGGCTAAGTGCTTACTTAATACCGGATGTACAACCATCAAATAACTCTATCATATAGTTAATTATTACCATTAACGACCCTTTTCTCAATATAAAATAACAAGTTTTCATTTTATCAATTGACAATATGAATATTTTTGTTACAAATCTATAGACGATATAATAATCGATTAATT